TACAATGTGCTGCTAACTCACATTAACCACACTGGTCTCTTGACACTGCAGCCTTTTCCAACACTGTCTGTGAAAAGTAACACACTAGTTAATTATTTGAAGGAACACAATAATTGGCAGAATTTTAAAGGTTATGGCATACGTGTGTGTGCTAGCCATCATCCAGCTCGTGCCTATATTGCCTACAAGGAAAACGGAGAACTAGTACTAAGCGGTATTGATGTCGATTCAATAAAATTGTTCATAGAACACTTTAATGCTACATTACTTTTGTCCTTACGAAGTTATAACAATTGTATAATCGCTCTAGAGACAAAGAATGCTGACATTTCGGCAACCTTAATGACCCAAAATGAACGAGTGAAAACCACACATTCCTTAATGTTATATATGGGATATTTGATGGTGCCAGCTGGACAAGAATTGGACCGTTTTAAATTGTTTTTGGCACCCTTTTCACGAAATGTGTGGTTACTTTTAATTAGTAGTGTACTTTATATCACTGTAATGTTCTCGCTCATTGACAGGCTACAATATGGTATTTGGCAGGTTGGCAGTTATATGTTAATCGCAGTGAGTAGCTTCTTAGCACGTGATATTCCTATGGAAAAATTTCCCAGAAGAGTTAAACGATTTGTATTCTTTATTTTACTGATCAGTGGAGGAATTATAACTACATTTTATTTGGCACTGCTTTCCAGTATTTTGAATGCTAATGTGTATGAGCGCGATATTAAGGAATATACAGACCTGAAAGAACGGAATATAGATTTTATGATAACTGATGTGGACTTCTGGGCATTTAAAATATATGGTCTGTCATCCACACTCAGAGAACGCTTGACACTTGTAGATCATAATGAATTTACTCGTAATCGTAACTCTATGAATATCAAGCATGCCTACTTCTGTTATATGGATGTCTGTGAAATTCTTAAGCATCAGCAAATATTCTTACTGAGAAAACGTATGAATTTTCTACCAAAACCCATAGTGTCTGTTTGGGGTGGATTTGGTATCATGAACGGCTGGATTTTCGAACAAACTTTTAATAGATATGTGCAACGCGCTTTTGAATTGGGTTTTAATGAACGATTTAGAAGAGATGCGAAGAATACAGCTATACGTTATGGGATTATTAGTTTCTTCAAAACGGAATACTATGAAGTTAAACCACTCGGCATAGATTATTTCGAAATGCCAGCTATTTTATTGGGAATTGGATATTTAGTTGCTTTAATTACGTTTATATTGGAGTTTCTTTACCACAACTTCAGTGAACGACGTTAATTAGCGGATTAGTGAAATTGAGGAAATGATATTGTCTAGTTTACGGATGAAAAATTTGTGTTTCAAAAGAACAAATGTATTCATCTTATTTAAATAATATCGTGTTAGGACAATTTTTCAATTGTATTTTAATTTTGTACGTACGTAGGATATATAAAAATTAACCTCGAATTTTTTGTACATATTTAAACAATCATATACTTTATTGTAAATAAATTTTAATAATTCTGTTAGTGTAGAAGTTCTGTAATTTATCGGCGTAAAACTTGACTAAATTGATTTTCAGTGGCACTGTGGTCGATCAATTTTTTACCATTAACAGGGTCGTGCTGATACCAAAAAAATTGATTGTCGGATTGTGGAAGGTTCGGGTTATAAGATGGCTGCATCAAAACTTTCCAATTAAGTTTCGTCAAATTGTTCCGACCTATCAAAATGTATATTGTCTATCATTGACATGATGCAACACAATTTATTTTCTCATGGTCAAGTCAAACGTTACGTGGGTACATTTTTGTTCATTGACTTTGATACGCCATCCTGATAACCATAACTCGAGTTAGTGAACATGATTTTGAAGCATGCGTTGTGCTATTAGGGTTTTTGTGAGCACTTAGTATTACTGTATCGTCAGCAAATGTTGCAGTTAAAATGTTTTCCGAAGTTGGCATGTCACTTGTATACAGCAGGTGTTCCAGACCTCACGTGGTAAATAATTTTGCAGAAAGACGAATTAGGCTTATGATTGATTTAAATTCGATTGTGAAAAAAAATGAGAAAAATAATGTGTAACACCAAATTTTATGAAATAATTTCAATTGAAAAAGTAACAAAATTTCTCTAGTAAGAAACTTATTATAGCTGAAACGTATCCAATTACAAGAAGAATAGCAGGCATTTGAAAATATTCAATACCCATTGGTTCCACAGAATAGTATTCGGTTTCGAAGAACTTTAATCCACCATAACGTATAGCAGTTTCCTTTGTTTCCGTAAGAAAATGTTTATAGAATCCAAGTTCAAACATACGTAATAAGAAAATATTAAACATATGTTCCAGTGGCCAATTATTTGCAATTGGAAGACCGGTCCATATCGTGACAATAGGTTTATCGAGTAACTTCACTTTGGGACGTAAAAGAAATTTTTGTTGATACAGTAAAATCTCACAAGTATCAGTGAAGCAAATATAACTATGCCGTGGATCTAAACGATTACGATGTGAAAGAAACTCAGATCCATTCACATAGATTAATATTTCTTTCACTGTATCAGATGTATTGAATTGATCGAAAATGACGCAGCTTTGATCATCATTCCAAATCGATAGATTTATTGCCTTCATATCTTCAATTGTTTCAATTTGACGATCGAAGACAGGTGTATTCAATAAGCTGAAGAGGTACGCCAAATAATAAATTGACATAATTCCACCAGTAATCAGTAATATGAAGAAGATTACGATAATAGACTTTCCGTGTAACAACTTCAGACTAAAGTCCAAAGAAAGAAAGCTGCTAATGGTGATTAACAGAAAACTACTGAAGTTCCATTGCTTGGATTGCGCTCTATAAATAAGAGACATCATACATGTCATGTACAGAATACTTATCAAAAGCATCAACCAAACGGTGAAAGTGAAGGGTAACAGAAACATTTTGTATTTCATAACTGGACGCGCATACGGTACCATTATGTGTCCATGTTCTGTGTGATATGGCTTACTTATGATTTGATTATTTATTTGTGTAAAAATATCGATACAAATTTCAGCTTTTCCAGTATTCAGATAATTAAAGCATTGAAAAAGTGTATAATTGAGATTGTATTTCACTTGGAGTGTGGCATTGTAATGCTTTGCAAATAATTTCACATAATCCGCAATCAGACCACTTAAGGATATTTTTCCATTATTATCGATATGCACATGAACACGTGGACTGCGATTACCGACAACTGCTTGAATAGGATATTTTTGCAAATCTAACCAATTATTTCGTTGTTCCAAATATTCTTCCAATGTAGATTTTTTATATCTGAACATAGGAATTGGAATTAGCCTTAGAAGTATGGAGTTGTCGACGTCAGTTAAAAGTACATTGAAGAAACCTGTTTTCCAACACCAAACGAATAAATCGTTCCATAGGTTATCTGAGAAATCTAGAACAGCAGTTGTAATGAAGAGCAAATCCGTGTGATAGAAACGATTAAGTGTGAGTTTCAGTGTAGATTTTACTTCGGAACTAAGTGCGTTATTGTCTAAAAGAACAATCGTAAGTATTTTGGAGTGAAGAACTTTACTCCATACCAAAGTAGTTTCATTTGTAATAATAATTTTAGGTGAACTTGTGTTTCCGATAATTTCCTCCTGCGCATTGGTAAGGTCCAGGTTCGTGTAGATAATATTCGTTTCGGCATGAATGGCGACACTTAGAACATCAATAAATTTGCTGGTCGGCTGTGGATTAATGTTAAGTATCCCATAGTATGCAATGAATGCGAATACAGTTAAACGCGGCATGTCCTTCGTGGACTTTGAGTTTATTTCTGCCGCTTATGGGTCGTTAGCTCTGCTTTTATGTTAAAAGCAGAAACAGTTTAGTTACGTGTGGAACAATTTAACAACAGCTTTCAATTACATTATAACCCATTGAGATTGTAATAGATATTAATAGCGGAACACTATCACTACCTATGGTTTCCTTAACCCTATTACGTTCTATTGTATAAACAAATATTATTCAATTTTATATATAAATATAATGTAAGAATTTGTTTCTATGTACAAACCAATCACCTTTCATATTTACTACAAGAACGATTTTAGTCTTTAAATTCTCAGTACGGTTTCAAATTTTTTTTAAGGATTTTGTATGTTAAATTAAACCTTTAGTTTAAGTTTGGTTACGTTAATTACGATAGTGTAAACGTATTTTAACCGAATGAAATTATCTTTCTTACCTCAATGTTGATCTTTCAGACTGATTTTTGAATCGCTGCTAGTATTTTTCTTAGTTTCTGTGATGATAATAGATCCATATATATTGAGCATATGTGCATTTATGGTAATATTTTTTGTTAATCAAATAGGCTTTCCCAAATTGAAATTAATTATAAAAATAATTTACTTCCATGAACTCCATATAAAATTGTATATATGATTTCTATAAAGAGGTTTTCGAACAGAAGTGAAACAACAACAAAAATTAATTTTTTAAATTATTTTAATTAATTGAACTTTGGCTGACCATACAGCTGTTTCGAGTATTGCCAAATACCCTTCATCAGTGGTCTTGGAAATAATTCTTATATTTAATTATTCGTAAATAATTATTTTTGAGACTGCAAGTACCAGGATTTCTGTAAAATTATTAAAAAGAGTAGCGAGACTCTCTTTATTTCATTTATTCATTCAATTGTTATTATTGGAAGGTCATCTTTATCATCAATTTTACTTATTGGCCAGACTACTTCAAATGAGATATAATTTTCTATAAGATATAATTTCCCCAAATTATTACATTTCAGTAGATTATTATTAGTATCGTGTGAATTATAATGGCTGTAATAGTTAATAAGTTATATATTAACCATTCTCCAACTATTTTGGACAAGAAGGTTGAGTTGTGCTAGGGTTAAGCATTTAAATGTTTGTGCGTGAGTTTCTTTAAAAACGCAATTCTAAATTTGAGAATCTATTACTGTGCAGAACGGCGCTTATTAGATTTAATTGATTATATGAGGACATTGCAAAATATTCTGTACACTGAGTTGGTTAGGCCAATTATGGGTATGTAATTATAATATTAATTAAGGTGGAATAGTATAATATTGGAGAATAATAATATGGGAGAAGTATAATATTAATTAAGATGGGAAATGATAATTTAATACTTTGTCGTACGTTTAATAACATTTTCCTTCGAAAACGTATTTATAATATATTATTTAAAAATAATTCTCCGGTGTTTTTAAAATAATTATGTTAATTACTTTTAATTAAGTAAATGTGGAGAGTTACCTCTCATTATTTTAATTTGTTTAATTTTATATATTATGAAGGCATTCAAGTTTTCATACAAATTATGACAACTGTATATTGTGAAGAGGTTCTGTAATGTGTATGGACTGCAAAATAGTTATATTTTTAGTTAATACATAATATTTTTGGTTTGAAACTACTGACTGTTATTTTTGGGAATATATCATCTACATGCAATATAGTGTACCCTGTTAGAACTTTTTGTTTCACCAGACTATAACCATGATTAAAGCGGGCAAAATGTAGATCTATAAATCCCACGGTCTTTGTTGAATATATACAAAGATGAATCAACTAATCACAAATGATTGCTCTGTTATGTGAGTTCGAAGAACAGTACTCAAAAAACATAAATAGACTTTACAGAAATGCAAAGAATAACGTGATTAGATATAACCGGGGTAATGAGTAGGAAGTTGCCTTATAGGAGAACATTAAACTTAGGGAAGAAGTCTGATAACTTTTTGTTAGACTGCTAGACTGTTAGACGGGAACACATTTATATGATCAATGAGGATTATTCTCTTAAAGAAAATAAAATTGGATGTAATTTTAATACATCTAAGAACGAAAGTGGCATTAACTTCGTTGTGTTTGGGTCAAGCATCAAACATAAAAAACCCATGAAAAAATAACCAAGTATTTTTCACGTAGAAGCACACACCACTGACACACCGAAAGATGTACGCAATTTAATCTATGCAGCGAAAACGGAACGATGCAGGCCGTTATGGAATGGTCTAAAGAAATTCAGGAGAGGAGCTAGAACTCGTGGCACTCGATCAGTGGCTTAAGTCTGATACAACGGGAATCAGAACCCACAGTTTTAAGTGACCTTATCATTAGAGGTTGGCCACTTAATGAGAGTATCGTAGTTATTGTAGTTACAACCCAAATTTACCCGGATAGAATGACTGTGTTCATTTACTTTCTTTCGAATTGGAGTTCTATGATTTAAGCAACAAGTGGGTATTCTGATTTAAGCAACAGCAGGGGTGTTAGATAAACCTCGCTCCCTCTCAAGGTGGAAATGGTATCTAAACGTATAGCTTGGAACTGATGAAATTTTTTTAACTTTCAATTATACGCTCCGCATTATACCGGAGCGTTTCCTAACTTTAACGGCGGTTAATTTCGTTAAATATACTATGTATTCTGTCTAAAAAAATTGAAATCAGTTAGGAAAGAAACAAAAAATTCACTCTCTAACAATTTTTATATAGGAATCACGGAATATGAACAAAGTGTCATAAACTTCTTAGCAATAGTCGGACCTTAACCATATTGCGGCGAAAGCACAGGAGTTTGGCAGGAATTGTTAAGTTACCCAGAAATGCAAAAGAAGAAACTTTTTCTATGACTTAAAGATCAAAACAAACCAAATTGTTATAAGGTAACTATAATAGCCAAAGCTTTAAATTTTGGATTGGCTTATTAAAGAATAGATTAAAACTATTGATTAGAGTATTGTCTGTCCGTTGTTGGTTCAATTGACATCCGAACAACATGACTATTATATCAAATTCAATGTGTAGTTTCTGGACATTAGATTTCTAAGTCAACTGACCACATACTAGACACTCGCCAGACACTTGTATACAAGAAAACCCAAAATTATTTGCAATGCTAAGTCCTGTCAACATTCTTGGGAGCCACGCAATTGTATAAGTTATTATACTATTATTTCGTACTAGTAGGTGGTACTACATTAGATCTTTGGATAGTAGTGCCTTATTAACCACACTTTCATATTACAAGACCTACTAAAAAGTAATACTTTTTTTTGTAATGAAGCACAATAATACTTAACTTGCTTCCCGCGAACAGGGTTTAATATTAAATTAAAAAATTGTATTATATATATGCTCTAATGCTCTTCAATGCAATGTCATTAAAATATTTGTTGAATTTCATTGTTGTCTTCCAAAGTTATTTGCTTTGTAACACTACTATAATGGTTGCGTGTGAAAATATCTTAGATGAAAGATAGTTTTTGCACTTAAACACTGATTATAGTTTTATCGCTTAATAATGGATACATAAGTATCATATTTCTATCATACAATGGATTTCGATTGCTCATTTGAATCCATTACTCAACAACAGTTTGGTCAGTCAACATGAAAATCAATTTGCTTCTATTAAACTTAGTTACTGTAGTTTGTTTTACAGTTGGATTGAGATATCAAAATTTAAGTGCATTAATAAACGAACTAAGTGTTGGCATCCAGGCACAAACAAACATTCTTTACAATTATCAGGAAGATTTCATTCACACGGATATATTGACAGAAACAGTGTACCCAAAACTGTTGATTACCAAGAACATCACTACCGAATGGCACCACAAGTTTGGATCATGTGTGCTGTCAATTGTATTTTTAGAAAACGACTCACTATCTGAATCATTAGGAGAAGTCTTGCAATCTACGCTACAGCATTGGAGATACACTGACATCTTGTTCGTTACATCTGCGGAGGAAAGCCCAAATCGACAAATGAAATATCACGAACTATTTGAATGGTGTTGGAGTAATGGTTTCTACAATGTGCTGCTAACTCACATTAACCATACTGGTCTCCTAACACTGCAGCCTTTTCCAACACTGTCTGTGAAAAGTAACACACTAGTTAATTATTTGAAGGAACACAATAATTGGCAGAATTTTAAAGGTTATGGCATACGTGTGTGTGCTAGCCATCACCCATATCGTGCCTATATTACCTACAAGGAAAATGGAGAACTACTACTAAGCGGTACTGATGTGGATTCTATAAAATTGTTCATAGAACACTTTAATGCTACTTTACTTTTGTCCTTACGAAGTTATAACAATTGTATCATCGCTCTAGAGACAAAGAATACTGACATTTTAGCAATCGCAATAACCCAAAATGACCGGGTGAAGACCACACATTCCTTAATGTTATATATGGGATATTTGATGGTGCCAGCTGGACAAGAGTTGGACCGTTTTAAATTGTTTTTGGCACCCTTTTCACGAAATGTGTGGTTACTGTTGATTGGTAGTGTACTTTATATCACTGTAATGTTCTCGCTCATTGACAGGCTACAATATGGTATTTGGCAGGTTGGCAGTTATATGTTAATCGCAGTGAGTAGCTTCTTAGGGCGTGATATTCCTATGGAAAAATTTCCCAGAAGAGTTAAACGATTTGTATTCTTTATTTTACTGATCAGTGGAGGAATTATAACTACATTTTATTTGGCACTGCTTTCCAGTATTTTGAATGCTAATGTGTATGAGCCCGATATTAAGGAATATGCTGACCTGAAAGAGCGGAATATAGATTTTATGGCATCTGATATGGACTTGTATGCTTTTAAAAAATATGGTCTGTCATCTATACTCAGAGAACGCTTGACACTTGTAGATTATAACGAATTTACACGTAATCGTAATTCTATGAATATCAAGCATGCCTATTTCTGTTATATGGATGTCTGTGAGATTCATAAACATCAGCAAATATATTTACTGAGAAAACGTATGAATTTTTTACCAAAACCGATAATGTTTGTTTGGGGTGGATTTGGTTTTATAAACGGCTGGATTTTCGAACAAACTTTTAATAGATATGTGCAACGCGCTTTTGAATTGGGTTTTAATGAACGATTTAGAAGAGATGCGAAGAATACAGCTATACGCTATGGGAATATTAGTTTTTTCAAAACGGAATACTATGAAGTTAAACCACTCGGCATAGATTATTTCGAAATGCCAGCTATTTTATTGGGAATTGGATATTTAGTTGCTTTAATTACGTTTATATTGGAGGTTCTTTACCACCAATGCAATGTACTCTATTAGTTTCAGTGCTTAGTGAAAATGAGAAAATGATATCCCAATCAATATGATGTTATTCAAAATCTAATGTCCTATTTTGGTTAGATATTATTATGTTAGAAGGATTTTGAGATTACCTATAATATAAAAAGTATACATGTAGTTTGCTCATTTTTGAAAAAAAAGTTTTTTTTTAATGAAAACGAATTTTAATCAAGAACACAATCTAGCAAAACACTCTTTGGGTTGGCATTCAACGACAACATTCTCACTGAAAGCTGCACAATTTTTTATGACTCTTTGACATAATCGAATTAGTCTTGCCAGATAAATGGGTACCAACACTATCTAGTAACAAAAAATCACGGATACTTTTAATATTAATCAATATTTAATATTTATTGTAGCCTTTTATTATTATTATAATTATTTAGCAATAAATGTGTAGTATCAATCATATATCAATCAATCAATCAATATGTGATTAAAGAAACAAATTCGACCACAAAACGAAGTTCACGTTATGAAAGTTGTAGAAACAAACCGAACGCGTTGTGGTAATTGAAAAGTGCCACAATGCGTTTCGAGTGTAATCTTGTCGAACCATAAAGTGATGAAAATTGGAAAATACTTTATCTTGAACAGAATTTGTAAAATTAAGAACGTACAAAAAATGTTTAAAATGTTTAAAAAATTATGGTATTGAAGACATTCTCTAAGCCAAAACAGATTCAATAATTATGGTTACATATGATGGTTACTTAAGATATTATCCATAACACTTTGTGCTCATTTGAAGTTATTCACAATGCATTATGGCTGTTTTTCGAGCCATTCGAAAAATTTCGACTTTCGAAATTGTGGTTGTTTTTTTTTTTTCGTTCATATAGCGTTTTTAAATAATCAATTTAATATATGTAAATAAGTATTGGAGATTATATTCATCATGAGTACTCACCTGACTCATGTTCGAATAAAGTGAGAGTTCAATTTTTGCAATACACAAGAAACAGTGATTTTTCTTAGGATTTCTTAAAAAGTCTCTGGTAACCGAAAGGACGATTAAATGTTAAATTTTTGTGAAGTACGATAAGAACTATGTAGTTCGTGAAACTTATTCAAATGAGACGATAAGTCCTCTTTTCTGAGGTAAGAATTTATGGAAGAATACAGTTTGTTTACAATGGTAGATGTTTGAAAATATTGAATTTTTGATTCCAGAAATCGAAGTTTTAGTATTGTCTGTTCCATAACTTAATATATTATTCTACACTTTTGTGTAAACTGGCTAGGCACTCAAAATAATAATATACTCGCAACCTATTTTAATAGATTTTGTTATTAAATCACAAAAAACTAATATTACAAATTTCTGATATTAATTTTATTTAATTTTTAAAGTGTTTCACTGAACCATAATTATTTTCTTCCCACTTTTCTATACTGATGCTCTAAAAATGATTAGTGTCTGTGTGTGCTCGATCCCCCTTCATAGTATAATATAAATATATATATTAAAATATATGCTTCATTATTAAAATATTTATAACATTAAGTCTTGTGCGAAATATTTCATAATAATTATTATAATAAAACATTAAAGTATATAACAATTTAAAAAAAATATTTATATGCATTTTTTTTCAACAATTCAACTAAGGGTGACAAAATTTCTCTACTAAAAAACTTATTATAGCCAAAACGTATCCAATTACAAGAAGAATAGCAGGCATTTGAAAATATTCAATACCCATTGGTTCCACAGAATAGTATTCGGTTTCGAAGAACTTTAATCCACCATAACGTATAGCAGTTTCCTTTGTTTCCGTAAGAAAATGTTTATAGAATCCAAGTTCAAACATACGTAATAAGAAAATATTAAACATATGTTCCAGTGGCCAATTGCTTGCAATTGGAAGGCCAGACCAGACCGTGATAATTGGCTTATCGAGTAATTTCACTTTGGGACGTAGAAGAAATTTTTGTTGATACAGTAAAATTTCACAACCATCAGTATAGCAAAGATAATTATGCCGTGGATCTAAACGATTACGATGTGAAATCAAGTCAGATGCATTCACATAGATTAATATATCTTTCACTGTTTCAGATGTATTATATTTATCGAAAATGTCACTCATTTGAGGTGAAATCCAAAAGGATAAATTTCGTTCCTTCATTTCATCAATTGTTTCAATTTGACGATCGAATACAGGTGTATTCAATAAGCTCGAAAGGTACGCCAAATAATATATTGATATAATTCCACCAGTAATCAGTAATATGAAGAAGATTACGATAATAGACTTTCCCCGTAACAACTTCAGACTGAAGTTCAAAGAAAGAAAGCTGCTAATGGTGATTAACAGAAAACTACTGAAGTTCCATTGCTTGGATTGTGCTCTATAAATGAGAGACATCATACATGTCATGTACAGAATACTTATCAAAAGCATCAACCAAACGGTAAAAGTGAAGGGTAACAAAAACATTTTGTATTTCATGACTGGATGCGCATACGGTACCATTATGTATCCATGTTCTATATGATATGGTTTACTTATAATTTGACTATTTGTGTATGTAAAAATATCCATGCAAATTTCAGCTCTTCTGGTATCCAAATAATTATAGCAGTGAAAAAGTGTATAATTGAGAATGTATTTCACTTGGAGTGTGGCATTGTGATGTTTTGCAAATAATTTTACATAATCCGCAATCAGACCACTTAAGGATATTTTTCCATTATTATCGATGTGCACATGAACACGTGGATTGCGATTACCGACAACTGCTTGAATGGGATATCCTTTTAAATCCAACCAATTATTTCGTTGTTCCAAATATTCTTCCAATGTAGATTTCTTATAACTTAAGACAGGAATTGGAATAAGACTAAGAAGTATAGAGTTATCGACGTCAGTTAAAAGTACATTGAAGAAACCTGTTTTCCAACACCAAACGAATAAATCGTTCCAGAGGTTATCTGAGAAATCTAGGACAGCATTTGTAATGAAGAGCAAATCCGTGTGATAGAAACGATTAAGTGTGAGTTTCAGTGTCGATTTTATTTCGGAACTAAGTGCGTTGTTATCTAAAAGAACAGTCGTAAGTATTTTGGAGTGAAGAACTTTACTCCATACCAAAGTAGTTTCATTTGTAATAATAATTTTAGGTAAACTAGTGTTTCCGATAATTTCCTCCTGTGCATTAGTAAGGTCCAGGTTCGTGTAGATAATATTCGTTTCGGCATGTATGGCGACACTTAGAACATCAATGAATTTGCTGGCCGGTAGTGAATCTATATGAAGTATTCCATAGCATGCAATGATTGCGAATACAGTTAAACGCGACAAGTCCTTTGTGGACTTTGAGTTTGTTTCTGACGCTTATGGGTCGTTACCTCTGCTTTTATGTTGAAAGCAGAATCAGTTAAATTACGTGTGGAACAAACGAACAACAACTTCCAATTACATTATAACCCATTGCGATTGTAATAGATATTAATAGCGGAATACTATCACTACCTATGGTTTCCTTAACCCTATTACGTTCTATTGTATAAACAAATATTATTCAATCCTATGTATAAATATGATTTAAGAAATTTGATTTTATCTAGAGAATAAACATCTTTCATATTTACTACAAATATGATTTTACTTTTCTTAATTATCGTGACTTATTTCACGAAGTCATCACGGGTCATCAAATTTAACATCAATTTATAATATCACAAATTGTCATAGACTACTTCAAATGAGCTATACTGACTCTCGTAAAAATTTGATCTGAACAATATATTCGACTATATTTTCCAGTTTTCCCATATCATCATATTTCTATGGATTCTTTTTTAGTATCTTTAAGTATATAGTAGTACAGGGTTAAGCTTTGTATTGTATGTGTACGAATTTTTATGAAAACGTACTTCTATGGTAAATTTAAGGATCTATTACTGCGTAGAATAGTGATGCTTATTGCAATTAATGGACTTTGGAAAATATTGTCTATTATGAGTTACTCAAGCTAATTGGTGTTATACAAACATATTATTAAATAAAGTGGAAAATGATAATTTAATACTTTGTCAATGACATTTTTCTCTTATACTTATAAAATAATTCTCTGGTGTTTTTAAAATAATTAAGTTAATTACTTATAATTAAGTAAATGTGGGGAATTATTTCTCATTATTTTAATTTGTTTTGTATCATATTTCATAAAGCCAACTCTGCCTTCATTCAAATTATCACAATTGGACATTATGAAGAGGTTGTGTACTAGCAATTTTATTGATATCATAGTACAGTAATGAATAGTAATGAAGTTCTAGGATAGAACAATAAGTTTTCCATTAAGACAGATAAATTTAATAACTTATTTACTGGAATAGACTTATTTGATCTATGAGTTTAGGAAACTCTTTGCTTTAGGGTAGTGAAATTCAATAGACACTAACCAATATTGTTTGAAGTATAAATGGTACTGGGTGGATTTTACTTGCGGCACCTGATCAGTGCTTAATCTCGTCGGATCAGATGCCTCGTCGGGCAGATAATTAATTTATCCGGAACCCCAACCGAGTGCTGTGATCCAAAAAACAGCAGAGGTATTAAACGTTGCACCCAAGAGGAAAACTATATCCATAATAGTTATACATAATAATTATCCATAATAATATATAAGTCTGCTATAAGAAAAGTAAGTCAACAGAGCGCATAATTGGACACATGATATATTTATTATCGTTACCGTCTTCGTATTTAACACCTAAAAAGTAGGTTTAGAACTATTCCACACTATTAGTAGGAGTATAATAGATTGATAGTACTTTCGGTGGTAAAAATTTCTTGACTTTCTTCACATAACGGTTCATTACAAGACCCAATTAAAAAAATTATTTTTTTTCTTAATAAAGCATGTTCAGATTTAACTTGGATCCCTCGAACAGGGTTTAGTTTTTATTAAAAAACTGGATTATATATTTACTCAATTCCTCTGCAATGTAAAGTATTTAAATATATTTATTTGCGTTGAAACACTTCTAAAATGGTTGCGTGTGAAAATATCTTAAATAAAAGATAGTTGGTGCACTTAAACAATGATTATAGTTTTATCGCTTAATAATGGATACATAATTATCATATTTCTATCATACAATGGATTTCGATTCCTCATTTGAGTCCATTACTCAACAACAATTTGGCCAGTCAACATGAAAAACTATTTGCTTCTATTAAACTTAGTTACTGTAGTTTGCTTTACAGTTGGGTTGAGATATCAAAATTTAAGTGCATTAATAAACGAACTAAGTGTTGGCATCCAGGCACAAACAAACATTTTTTACAATTATCAGGAAGATTTCATTCACACGGATATATTGACAGAAACAGTTTACCCAAAACTGTTGATTACCAAGAACATCACTACCGAATGGCACCACAAGTTTGGATCATGTGTGCTGTCAATTGTGTTTTTAGAAGACGACATACTATCTGAATCATTAGGAAAAGTCTTGCAATCCACGCTACAGCATTGGAGATACACTGACATCTTGTTCGTTACATCTGCGGAGGAAAGCCCAAATCGACAAATGAAATATCACGAACTATTTGAATGGTGTTGGAGTAATGGTTTCTACAATGTGCTGCTAACTCACATTAACCACACTGGTCTTTTGACACTGCAGCCTTTTCCAACACTGTCTGTGAAAAGTAACACACTAGTTAATTATTTGAAGGAACACAATAATTGGCAGAATTTTAAAGGTTATGGCATACGTGTGTGTGCTAGCCATCACCCACCTCGTGCCTATATTGCCTACAAGGAAAATGGGGAAGTATTGCTAAGCGGTATTGATGTCGATTCAATAAAATTGTTCATAGAACACTTTAATGCTACATTACTTTTATCCTTACGAAGTTATAACAATTGTTTAATCGCTCTAGAGACAAAGAATGCTGACATTTCGACAACCTTAACGGCCCAAAATGAACGGGTGAAGACTACATATTCTTTAAGGCTGATTAATGCTTATTTGATGGTACCTGCTGGACAAGAGTTGGAACGATTTAAAATATTTTTGGCGCCTTTTTCACGAAATGTGTGGTTACTGCTGATTAGTAGTGTACTTTATATCACTGTAATGTTCTCGCTCATTCACAGGCTACAATACGGTATTTGGCAGGTTGGTACTTATATGTTAATTGCAGTTAATAGCTACATAGCGCGTGACATTTCTATGAAAAAATTTCCCAGAAGAGTTAAACGATTTGTATTCTTTATTTTACTGATCAGTGGAGGAATTATAACTACATTTTATTTGGCGCTACTTTCCAGCATTTTGAATGCTAATGTGTATGAGCGCGATATTAAGGAATATGCAGACCTGAAAGAGCGGAATATAGATTTTATGGTACCTGAAACGATTTTGTGGGTATTTAAAATATATGGTCTGCCATCCATACTCAGAGAACGTTTGACACTTGTAGATTATAACGAATATACACGTAATCGTAATTCCATGAATATCAAGCATGCCTACATCTGTTTTTTGGATGCTTGTGAGATTCTTAAGCATCAGCAAATATTCTTACTGAGAAAACGTATGAATTTTCTACCAAAATCGATAATGTCTGTTTGGGGTGGATTTGGTATAATGAACGGCTGGATTTTCGAACAGACTTTTAATAGATATGTGCAACGCACTTTTGAATTGGGTTTTAATGAAAAATTTATTAGAGAAATTAAAAATAATGTTGTGCGGTATGATAATGTTAGTTTCTTCAAAACGGAATACTATGAAGTTAAACCACTCGGCATAGATTATTTTGAATTGCCAGCTATTTTATTGGGAATTGGATATTTAGTTGCTTTAATTACATTTATATTGGAGGTTCTTTACCACAAATTCAGCGAACGACGTCAATTAGTGGATTAGTAAAATTGAGGAAATGAAATTGTCTAGCTTAAAGATGAAAATTTTATTTAAAAATCATTTATGTCCTACTTTGATTTAAATAATACCATATTCTAATAAAATAATGTATATTACAATAATTTAATGAAATTATATTTTGATGTATTGTACGTACTCTGATGAAATAAAAAGTGTTCGCACTTTCCTTATTAAAACATAATTTTAATCAAATATACATTAGATACTATTCTTTATAATTCCATCAGTTTAGAACTTCCATGGCTTATCGGCGAAAAACTGGACCAAGTGATTTTCATCGGTTATTTGCTCGACTAATGTCTTACCATTAACCTCTGTTAGAGTTTTACAGTAATCGAAATGAATAGCATTTAGGCGGTGCAAGATCCTATAAGGACTATACGGTGAATGCATCACAACTTTTCAATCATGTTGATTTATCGTCCATTTATTCTGAGTCATTAAACATTCTTTTTCACTTTTCCTTGATTGCTTTATCCCAGTGGCTGAGTTGTGTGCAGTAGAACACCGAATTAACCTTGCACCAGGCTAAACCGCCTCGTAATAGAAAATTCTCTTCCAATCCCACTAACAACTCAACATAACATTATTTACCGTCAATCCAGGCTGTGAAGTGGTTTTTGGTTAGTCATATTCAATATTAGTGGTTTTTGGTTAGAAATATTGCGTTGAATATTTCCGGTTTTAATTAATTTTTTATCGTTTGTAATAATACGGTTTAAAATTGGTTCAGTCACCCTTATTATCAATATTTCCAGAATGCAAGTGGAAGCAAACCATGGTTTATCCCGGCTTTGAGGATCCTCACTCAACACAAAATTGTCAGTCTAAACTGGACAAGTTTTTTGTATTCGTGTGACAAAAAGAGTTAAACCGTAGTCTTCAATACGTCTTATTAAAAAATTTACAACTATAACTAACTTCTATAAATACTAAATAAATTTAAAAAATCCATTTTTCATCCCTCTTTTGCTTGAGTTTCTTTAAACTGAACTAAGGAATGGTTGGGATGATCACCCATCTTGCTGATTAGTTTATATGTTGAAACCTTTATTTGCTTGGTAATGGTTTTAATAGAAACATCTTTGTGAATATTGGAGTATCTAACATTCCAATAAATTTTGAATATCTCTTAGGTTGTAATGCCATAGAATATTTCGATATCATTACTTTTATAAATAATTACATTTTAAAGAAATTAATCCTATATTGATTGATTTAAATTCACAATTAAAATAATGAAAAAACTTCCAGATTTCAAACAATTTATTCACTTATTTTCAGAATTATTTACTTTAAAATTAATTTTGAGAGATTTGGAATTATAACTACATAAACACAAATATTTTTTTATCAAATTAATGAGAACTTTTAAGAACTTAAATTAAATCCAAGGACATGAAATATTTTTGGGTCGATATTTGATGTCCATCGTATTAACTTACTTTTCAAAAATTTTTCTTAAATTTGCTAAAAAAATATATGAGAAAAAAAGCCTTTAAGTTTATGGACTATTACAGAAAGTTGACGTAATAATTGAACTCAGTAGGAACACACCCATTAGAAACCAGGCAACAGAACGAACGAGTCCCATCCCATTCCTCACCTCAACTTGATTTCCATATTGGATAGGATTAGGTGCAGTTGTAGTTGGAAACTCTTCATTTGTTAAGTTATTCTCTTCATCAATTAATGCTTCCTTGTTAACTTCTATTGTATCAACCAAGCTGCACTGTCGAAGATTGGATTTATCGTTCATAGTTGCAATATTTTCGAATATATCATTAACATTCACATTTAATTCTGATTCGTTTTTATTAAAAGTAGTTTCCAATACCGAATTCGTTTTGAAAACACCCTCTTCAAGATTAGAATTACTATTTGTTCTTATGTTCTCAATAGGGAACTGTTTGGACTGGTATATGATGGGTATTACTTCCTCCGTATGAATATTTTCATGGCTAAGTAGATTAACCGTAAGGTGATTATCAGGGTTTTCAGTTTCAACCTCTCCATTAACGCTTATAAATGACCGTTTATTTATATTTAAAATGTTTTCGGCGGTATTACAATCATTGATCATATCACAGCTCTGACTTAAATGCTCATTGGATGATGCTTTCAATGCGACAAATTTGGATTCAAAGTTATTGGTTTGTTCATCACCTTTTGTAAATCCCTTAAAAAAGAGAACAGAAGCAGCAGGTGTATTAGAAGATATATCCAAAGAAGTAGTGGGTTGCTCTTTACATGTTCCCAACTTCTCACTGGAATTGTTTATCGGATGAAATGATATATTCTTGATGGTGTTTCTTGAATTAGAGTTACTTGGTGGTTGGTCTTCATATACTTGACATTCGTCAGTCTTTCGAACTCCGGTATTTTTTTGATTATAAATGTAATTTCTACGCTTATATGTTGTCGAATACGCTTCACGAACAATAACACTCTCACCTCGTATTCGAATTTGTCCATCTCTTATTTGAAGTGCACGTTGTTGATCAGTTTTGCTGTTGAATTCAACAAATCCAAAATTTTTACTACATCCGCATCTGTCACAAATTACTCTAGCCGAAATACAGGTTGGAAATAATTTCGCAAAAACTGAGTATACTTCGACCTGTGTAACTGAGCATCCCAGATGCACAAATATCTGATAAGATTTATGTTCAACAAAATTTAGGACCGAATAACTTGTTGGACTGTCTGAGTTTTCTTGTGGTATAATGGAAGCCCTCATGGACGGCTTGGATAAGTCTTCATTTAAGATGTCAATTAATGAAGTACTTATACTTATACCTTCTCCAAACTCAACAGTGTTGTGATTTCTAGAAGAAGTGGAATAATTACTGTATTCTGGATAGAGTTTTCTTGGTTTAAGCAATTGTGTTTTCATAGCTGTTTCGAACGTGAAGAATCTGTAGGGGATTACTCCCTCAATAACTCTTTTATTCAATTTTTTGTAAACCCGTCTTGCTTCATTTATATTTGGGAACTCTACTAAATATATAAGTGCATCATCCTTCTTCTCCACCAAATGAACACGTAATGGTCTTTCGTAATATTGCATGAAGGCTTTATATACCATTTCTTCAGTAAAATATGTTGAAGCAGTCATTTTCAGGAACTATAGAACGAAATTTATATCACTTATTAAAATCAATTTCAATATATCAATCAATCAATATGTAAGTAAAGAAACAATCGTAAGGCATTGCGTTGAACTCAATACGATCACAAAGCAAAGTTCGCGTTATGTTTGTTGTAGAAACAAACCGAACGCGTTGTGGTAATTAAGAAATGCCACAATGCGGTCTGAGTGTAATCTAATTGAACCATGAAGGGATGAAAATTGAAAAATTTGACAAGATCACTTTATATTTACATAAGATACTATACAGAACGCTTTGTGGTTGTTCGAAGTTATACACAATGAGTTTTGTTTGTTTTTATAAGTACCAGAATACGATTTTCGGTATTAGAAATAATATTCAATATTAGTACTCACGTTACTCATTTTTGAATAAAATAAAAGTTCAATTTTTGCAATACACAAGAAACAGTGGTTTTTATTAGGCTTCCTCCAAAAATCTCTGGTAACCGAAAGGATAATTAGATGTTCAATTTTTTTAGGTGACGATATCTGGATGAAGTTTTTTTATTTATTTGACAGCAAATAAAAATTCGAACTTTTTATTCTGACATATTTTCTCGAGTTCATGTACTACTTCGATCAAAAGAAAAAATTCTTTGCAATTATTCTTTAGAATATATTTTTTATACATGATTGTGAATAAAATATATCTTGTTATACTTTTTAACAGTAAAATAAATAAATAAAAAATATTTATATGACGACACGAAATACGAATTATCAACAAAATCATTCGTTGACAGTTAACACAATAGATGAATTTTTAGTGTTGGCAACCATGCGATTTGAGTTGCTTATTAGTTAAGCGATTCCAAAAAGGTTGGACTACTTAAGCCAGCAGTGTTATTGTTTCATATGTTATTTTTAATATAAGCAGTCGTTCTTTTGTGATATGCTTACAAAAGAAAAGGCCCATTGTAAGATCCTCTGATACACATAGCGGCTTCATATGGATTAAGTATAATTATGAAGTATTTGGAAATGATTTTAATTAAATGCTATGATTCGCATTAATATGTCGTTAGTCAAAGCAGTGTTGCTCAGAAATAAATGTCATAAGTTGAGGGTCGGGTGTTCACTCACACCACACTCACCGTAAGCCACAATGAAATGTCAGCTTTCAAACAAGTGTATGTTTGGTAAAGATACCAACATCATCTAGTGATAAACAACTATGGAGTTTTACCAATTCTACCGAATATAAATGGTATCTATCAATATTCTTAGTAATATACCTTACTAGGGTAATTAAGTATCAATAAAACTATGTTATGCTTTTAAAAAGTAATAAAAATTATTTGAGGTTATGCCGGTGATCCAGAAGATTCACTTAGAGCTATTGGCCCTTTGTGTTAATAAAGTTGTTTAATAAAAAATAAAATAATTTCAAAGATTTGAACTCCAAATTTAAAGATTTTTATTGCTTGGTTGCATTTTTTATAATAAATATTAAAAACAACACATAAATTTTTATATATAATTTTGTTAAGACAAAAGAGATAACATATGATGCATTGAATTTGGATTAAATTTTAAAAAATTGATCGCAAAAACCCAATAAGTAAATTTAGGGTCCAAGTATATCATTTAGTTTTGAAAAAATGACTTAAAATTTAGATTAACATTTCCAAACCTATTAACATAATAAAGACGATGATTATAATTATGCCAACCATGACTACAGTAACAAAATGATGGACTCCTTCTGGATCACTAATTTTTCTTTGATTTTGTAGTTGAATACAATAAACAGAGGCTACAGTTGGATCTTTGTCTATTTTATTCGTTTCATCAATGTTATTTGGAATGCCTTCTTCATTACCCTCTTTAACTATAAGTGGATCTATCGAATTATGATGTTGATATTTGGTATTATGGTCCACAGTTGCCAAATGTTGAATTGTTTCATCGACAGTAATTTTAATTTTTTCAGTCTTGTCAGTAGTTACTTTCTCAAGATCGGAATTGCTTTGTGTAAATAATTGAACATCACTGTGAACTTCATTGGATTGACATATTATCGGTTGTACTTCCAACTTACGACTATTTCCATCATTGACATGATCAACTAACTGACTGTTCGTGTTTTTGGGTTTAACTTTCTCATCAAAGCTTATATTTGACAATTCATTTACATTCGCTACACTTTTGGTGGTACGCCAATCTATATTCAGTTTAGAGGTTTGAATTAAATGCTCATTGGATGATGATTTCATGTTCACATTAATGGATTTTGTAAATTGCAGTGTTTCCTCACTACGTTCCGTAAATCCCTTAAAGAAGAGTACAGAAGTTACTTTGGGTTCATATGATGCTTTTGAGGATGTTGTGGGCTCTTCATCGAATATTTCCATTTCCTCACCGAATTTCTTTATTTGTTTAAACATTTTATTCTTATGAACAGCTTCGGTAGTCAAATAATTTGTTAATTGATTACTGTGATCAGCGCATTTAAGAGACTTTCTCAAAACGGTACCGAATGGTGATAAGTTATTAGTTCTGTGTACTATGTTTACAGTGTTGGTTTTCAACACTTTGCCATTTCGAGCTTTATATGTGCTCCAATCTTGCTTATATTTTTTTGGATGAGCATCGCGTATATTTATACTACCGCCTCGAATTCGAATATGTCCATCTTTTATTTTAAGTGCTTCTTGTTGATCGATTTCGCTGGCAAACTCGACAAAACCATAACGTTTGCTACGGCGAAACCTATCACAAATGACACGAGCCGAGATTGTACTGCGAAACATCTTTGCGAAAACTGCATGTAACTCGATCTGCGTAACCGAACGTCCCACGTGTACAAAGATCTCATGTTTTTCGCGTTCATTAGTGCCATAGTTTAAATAATTGGTGGTATTCTTCACAATTCTTTGTGGCATTATGGAAGTCGCAGTAATTGGTTTGAGTGAATTTTCGCCATCAGCTTCTGTAGTATTTGTGATTTCCGCATTTCTGACTTCCACAATCTCGCTCTCTCTTATGTCAGTAGGAATATTAGATGTTATTTCCGATTCTTTTTCATCTTTTTCAAATGTGAAGTAATGTGCAGGAATAATACCCTTAATTATGTTCTTATTCAATTTTTTGAAAACTCGTTCGGCCTCAATTTTATTCGGAAATTCAATTAAGTATAACACGTCTTCAGCCTTCACATCCACCAAGTGCACACTTATGGGTCTTTCACGATATTGCATGAAGGCTTTAAATATCATTTCTTCGGTAAAGTAAGGCAATACAACAAATTTAAGAAACTGTAAAAAAAATTCATATTATAACGACCGGGACTTACTATAACATATGCGATATGTGTACTTACTTTACTCATCTTGTTATTGTTTCGAACTTTAACTTCTCCAATTTTCTTAGATAGACGGAGACCAATTTTGTTAAATGCACTTCCTAGTTTACTGCTAATTGCAAACGGTATTCATTTGACATATGCTATATGGAGAAACGATATATTACTATATTGTGTTTATATATCTGTTTCAGTCTAACTTATTTTCAAAATCAAACCATATGCTTTGGGATTGAATTCCTTAACTGTACAGCTTTGCTTTTCAACAGTGTTAAAAGTTATACTTAAGCTATCAATATGTGGGACAATTAAAAATTTTTATTTATAATTCCAAATAGATGATATTCCAATGGATGTATCATTTCATAACTTATAAACATTTAATATATTTGTACCGACAAGTCACTGAATATAAATTCGAAAGGATTAAGAACTGTAGGATGTCATATGGAAAGATTTAAATAATCTTGTACTCTTTATTTATTGGCAAAAATCAAACAATATATTGAAATACTACTTTGATTAAAATCTTAAGATTAAGTTTTCTTTATTTTTTTTTACATTTGAAACCACAAAATGGTTAACCCTACGCATTTAGGATGGCCCTGCTGGCTTCTATTTTTCTATTTAACCATTAAAATTATTAATAAGTAAATCTTATAATTTGACTGAAATTTTTTAATAAATACAAATTTAATTTACATTAAAAATTCTGAAAATATATATATATCGGTAGCTTTATATAAATTTCACATTTAGTGAGTTGCTGCGCCACCTACCGATAAAAATAGCAACAATATTTGTATAACATCGCCTGCGCTCTTAGCCTGTTTCTGCACCAAATTTTGTGTAATAGGACCTCTACCGGCAATAAGTAACAGTAATAGGTTCAAATATGTTTATAGCAGATTCAGTCGGAAATAAATCTATGTTTTATTGTGAAATTCTATGTTTTTGCTATTTGAAATGTTTTTGCCATTCAATTGAAAAATTGTTGTCTCCAGATTTAAATTAAATTAATTTTAATATTATAAAAATTCAAATGTTTAATAAAAAATATTAACAAATAAAATAAGATTTTAGTTTAAAAATTAGAATTAAATTGAGTTAGTGCTATTAAGAGATAATAAAGAGAAAAATTGAAAGTCATACATAGACACGTAACCATAGGAGATGTTTAAGGTACTGCAGATCGCTTTGAATTAAACCAATATATTACGTATAAGTACTCAAATACATCATATATAACCTATAGTCTGGAAGATTGAAGTATCAACTAATGTTTTGAAATAATTAAACTACAGTAATAAAATTTATTTTCCGATAATACATTTCTTAAATAGCTGTAACAACCCGTTATTGGTTTTTGGCTTGATTTAGTATGTCTCTCCAGGCACGTCGACTGTGCGTACGTCTTTTTTTAGTATATATTTATTTTTAGTATTTTTTAGTGCTTCCCAGACTTGATTACTCCTCCGTAGACGCGATTATCGCTGATAAAAAGCCATTGTCTGTGATGTGGTGGAAGATTCTTGTATCTACTTAGGTTTTAGTAATATGAAAGTGATGTAATGGAACTTATCTCCTGACAATACATCCATGATAAAAATCCATTTTTCAATGATGCGGGAGATTCTTGCACCTACTGAGGTTTTAGAACTATAAAAGTGTAATAATGGAACACATTTTCCAAAAATAAAATTATTTTTCACGATTTTTATTATTATATCAATTAAAATAGCTAATATTAAGAAATCATTTTATGACACAAAAATGTATTTAAATGTATTCTTCCTTATTATATTGTATATATAATAAATATAAACTAAGTGCGCTACTTAAAATATTGATCTAATACCACAATTGATTAACAGGAAGTGGTTTACTTTTAATCGTTAAAAAATCAAACAAATACTTTAAAAATTTTTTAAGTTCTCAAATTTTAAATCTCCATCAAAGTAACTTTGAAAATTTTCAAATTATCCATCAACACGTCTGCCTCGATACAAATTTCTGGCTACTGGCTTGATCACATACTTTAGTCTAGTAAATAGTTTACGTTCTAGATTAAATATGAATTCTATGTAGCGTTGATCAACTATGTGTACTATTCAACTACGTGTACTATTTTTAATTCGATATCGCAGGCGATCAACATAAAGTGATCGACGCGTCTGCGTCGATACAAAGTTCTGACTACTGGCTTGATCATATACTTTAGTCTAGTAAATAGTTTACGTTCTAGATTAAATATGAATTCTATGTAGCGTTGATCAACTATGTGTACTATTCAACTATGTGTACTATTTTTAATTCGATATCGCAGGCGATCAACATAAAGTGATCGATTTTTTTATCGATAAATAATCTAGGAAATTATTTTGAAAAATTTTTCAGTCATCAAATTGTTTATCTCCAACGAAGTACTTTTAAAAATTTTTAAGTTTTTTACCATTACGTCTTCTGCGATCCAAATTTTTGGATAATAGCTTTGTCGATTAACATAAAGTGATCGATTTTTTATCGATAAAAAATCAAACAAATACTTTAAAAAAATTTCAGTTTTTAACCTGGGAGCATATCTGGAAACAAATTTCTAGCTACCGGTCTAGTCACATAGTTACAGTAAATAGATTTCTTTTTTGTTTAAATAAGAACTCTTTATGGCGCTGATCAACTAAATGCACTGCGGCACCTTCAATATTGTTGTCAATTAAGAGAAATTAATCGAGTTTATATCTTAATATGGAGGACGCACTTGAAGTTTCTTTAAACATTTTAATGTTACCAATCAGTAATCCTCCCCGAAGTATATTCCTAACTACCGGTCTATTTAGCTCAGTTAGTAGATTTGTTTATTTATTCAAAACAGCACTGCATTATCATTCCCATTAACTGTGCATTTGGCAAAGTCTTCGATAACAACGAATTTCTCATCCATATTATCCATACGAAAATTTTTATTTGGTTATCAACAAGCATTTATTTTCCATTATTGTTGTTTTTGTTGTAATTTTTTTGTTTTTTGTTCTGTATTCAATTCTACTGCCTTTTTGCATGCATTGCTTTCCGCCTTTTTCTTACCACGCGAAATGTGCACACAGCTGAAAAGCTACCTCAACGGAAAACAGAGAGTCAAGTGCTGCAACAGCTCGCAGGTCAGTGCGTCGTCTCATTTCGCAGAGAGTGGAGCGGTTTTTGTCGTCGCCCCAACATAATTTATTTTTTTTCCTTATACAGAATATTTAATAAATTTCAAAGATTAAATGTTGTTAAAGATAAAATGCACAAAAACCAATGAAATTAACCGGCAACTAACTGATAATGCCTACGGTTTATATATGTACATATGTATATAGACGACGGTTCGATAAGAACGCGAGTGTCTAACCTGTTCGCATAATTATTTTTGCAGTAAAATATTTTCAAACGTCAAAATAACAACAACAATAATAACAGAAAATTACAAAAAAATTGGTATACAGATTTTTAAATAATTAATTAATTTCCAAAATAATTTTATTCAAATAATTTAACATAAATTAAAAAATTAATTGTTGTTTTTTCTATCGTGCATTGGCATATTCACTGAATATACACACACACACACGCAAATCTAATAAGAAAATCATATAAATTCCAATAAGAAGATTTGTTTGGCTTTTCATGAGAACAACAAAGTTTATGCAGTTTTAGTTAATTTTTATTATTTTTTTAATTTTTATATAAAATATTTTTTAATAGTAAAAATCATACTGCAACGACGTTAGAGTTGGAGTTGCTTGCAGTATACATAGTAAATAAGCTTTAGTAACATAACCTACAGAGACGGAAATAAACAGCCAAACGACAACCCGAATTACTAACACAAGTAAAATGTACAACAAAAAACGGCAACAGTAAATGCAACTAACCCAACAAAATGCAACAACAAAATGCTAAACATAACACAACAAAAACACAACATAGCAGCCAGTAAAAGCATTCGAGTATCATAAGGCAAAGCACAGAAACCACAAATAAATTTTGCGGGGTTGTGTAGTGCAGTGCAGTCAGAGGTAGTTAGTAGCAGAACATTTACACCGGTTGCATGGGGCATATTATGCTGTGCATAACATATTAGGAGAGTACATAATTGAGTAATGTTTTGCTAAAGAAGTTAAGTCAGTTGTTATTGTGCCAGCCGAACGTGTGGCGCGAAACGTAAGAGAACAAAGCAACAGCTTTGAATTAAGCACGAAGAGCAATAGCAACAGCAACAGCAACAGCAACAGCACTCGCATGCACACACGCACACACAAAAACAATAATAATAATAACAGCAACACTAATAATAAAACAGTATAACATTTGTTTTTATTGAATTCCTCTTTTTTCCACTTTTTACTATGTTGACAACGGCAAACGGCATAAATAAAAACAAGAAATAATAAAAAAATAAAAAAATATAACATGTCTGCATGAAAACACTACTCACAAAAACAAAAGCAAAAATAAAATCTAAAGAGAGTAGAAATGAAAATTAACTTTAAAATTGCTTGTTTTCGATTTGGGAGCAACAAACATAACCGTTGCCTGCTGCTAGTGAGATATCATGAGAAACGAAGAGCGCCAGAGAGTATGCAAGATAAATGTGTATAAAAATAGCCGCTCACAAGTGTGGCAATGCCCTCTATAATATACCAACATACACTTCGATACAAAAAAGAAATACAAAACAAAAGAAAAAGAAAACAGCAACCAGCTAAAAACAAAAGTGGAAGACGAAAATGAAAACAGAGTATATAAATATGTAATAAGAAGAAAAAGAAGAAGAAGAAAACAATTGCATCATACAATATACTCACTTGTCATAATACGACTGGCGTAATAAGCACGTGTTAATCAAACTTGCAGGCAATGGAGAGTGAATGAGAGTTTACGTTCAAGCAAAACAAAAACAAATAAGAAAATTAAAAGCAAAATAAAATAAAAGAAAGGAAATTAAAAACAATAAAGAAAAAAAAACCGTATGCCGTCAAACATTCTAATGTGACTTTTGTGAATTTTCGAAATGTGAAAAAAAAATAATTTTAGAATAATTTTTTTTGTTGGTTTTCATTTTAAATTTAAACAAAAAATTAATTTTTTTTAAATATGCGCTATATTTATACTTATAAAATTAATTTTAATACAATTTGTTTTTGTTTTGCTTAGTGAGATTTATTTGTAATTCGGTCATGAACTTTGTGACTTATGGGTTCGTTGTTGTAGTGTTGGTGTTGGTGTCAGTGTTGGAAAGGATATGTTAATGAAATCAAAGATCTCATCAAAAATTTAGTGTACGTGAGATAGACTAGGTAGTTGAAAATTTTGTCCACAATTTTGACAATCTGAATAATACTCGTATTTAATTTGTAGGCAAACTTTTAAGAGTTGAAAACTACAATACACAGTTTAAAGCGTTTTCATACACTATTTTTTTTTTTTTATAATCATTTAACTAGTAAACACTAGTTTAATTTAAAAATCTAATAATACTAGTTAATACTGGTTAAATTTACTAGTTATGGAAATAGGAACGTTCTGATTTTGACTGTAATTAAAATCTATCTTCTAAGTTTAGTTAGTAGATTTCTGCAGATCACATTACAAGCTGAGAGTATTCCATAGCATATATTAAGAAAAGCTATATGAATAAGAGACATTAATCAAATTCACTTGAAGCTTTGAGAGAGCAGGGTAGATTAGGTTAGGTTAGATTATTTCAATGGCCTATTGGTTATTATCTTACCATATAAGAAAAGGTATCAGAGGTTTGAAAATCAATTTGACAAAGCATAAAATGCTCTTTAAAAGGACCTGGACTTGGCCAAGATCTGCTAAAAGGAAGTTCATAAAATAATAAATTGTCTCCGCGCATGCTCTGAACAGTAACAAAACGATTGTTAGTCATTATCAGTGTCCTCCTCACAACTGCGACGGTAATGATTTAACGGAAGATTTAATCTTTCCTAATCGGTTGTGATTCGTCAACAAATTTACCACAAGACTGATATCCTTGCAGGACACTTTAATGTGATCGATTGATCTCAGCTCTCAGATGCCAGCATATCGTTAAATCCTTTAACTGCAGTTTAAAGTTTAGCTTTACGAAACTGGGAACTTAATATACTGAAACTTTTGTGGTTTTGTAGGAAAGATATTTAGAGCTCAAAACACGCGCTAGGAGTTTGCTTGGTGCAGACACATAAACGAAGGAAGCTAGAGGGGATGAAAAAAAAAACTGTAAAATGGTTTCAATACTACAATTTATCGATCAGAAGAAATAATCTGAATTTATGAAGTGAACGCAATAAATCTTTAAGTCGCAGTGTGAATTACCTCCACTTAGTAAGAATATCAATAACAGTATGCAATAATTAGTTCACACACTTTCAGGCCACATTTGTATAATTCAGATTTTGTTCTTTTAGAGTTTTAAATGTTTTAAAAATAGACTCTAATTATACATTTTTAGCAATAAGAAAAAAAACTTTCGCTTACCACAATTAGTAACTTGTGTTTGTAATCACAGTTAATATCTCTTGTAGAGTCTGTTTTTAAGGAAATGTGATCAGGAATTTTTAAACTGAACTTAAATAAAAATTTGTATTATGACTGTTAAACTTTATTTGAATTCTAAGATTTAATATATATAATTTAATATCTAAGGCAACTTGGTTTAAAATACTTTCAAAATTTTAAAATGTGTTTCGATTGGCTGATATTATATTCGACCACTATATTCGACAAATGGGTATTCCATTATGAAAACCTATTCACTATATTAAGTTGTTAGCAATACTAGTTTCGTACCACGAAGCAGTACCACGAAGCACGAAGCAAATATTCCACTACACATTTTATGTAAGTCTGATATGAATATTTATATAAAATTATATATTTATCAGACTTTTATAAAATATTATAGACTTTTATAGCTAATTTATTGGGATCAAATAAACTGGTTCGAGAGATCAGAATCGCCACTGATGGTCTGGCTAGTGTGTGAACAAATATCACACGAATTCCAAGATACGAACTTATAACCTTACCTGCTTCTGTCCAACACTCACCTGACTGCAGATTCGACTCTGGAGTGAAGTGGTAGATCCATATTTCTTGCATTTTTACTAAAAGTTCTGGTGTCTCCGGAATCTGTTAAGGCGAAGTTTTTACATTACGTCTTTCCAAAAAGATTTTGTGATCTTTTTTGATATTTTTTGGTGTCAATACTTCTTTTGGGCGGTTAGTAAGTTCGGTGTTATGATGTTTGTAAGTCCGTGTTTAAAGTCAGTAAACCACTTTTCTACTATTTGCTCGATGCTGCTGATTCCGGGTAGCACTTATCACACGAGGCTTTTGTTGTTACTGTATTATTTTTTTTTGTGATACATGGAAAGTCATATGATTCCCTGCCACTGTCAGCGCTTTAGTTCATGTATATCAGAGCTGTCGAGATCATATAAATATATTGGAGGGCCGCAGAAATAAATACATGTGTTCATAATTTTTCCTGAGAAAAATAAAAGTACGTCGATAATGATAAATTTAAATTTATTAATTCTTCATTAATTTATCTTTTACAATTCTATCACTATCACCATTATTAATATTAGTTGTTGACATACAAAAAATACTTTATTTTTAATAATAAAGTTTTTGTAAATTAAGTAAATTAACGTAAAGTGTGATAAATTATTTAAAAAATTAAATTATTCGGGATACCATAAAGATAAAATTATGTGATATTACTAAAATACAAGAAAGAAAAATTTGCCTAATTGTGTTAGATTAGAAACATATCGCGGGACGCACAAATATTAGCCGCGGGCCGCATGAGGCTCGTAGGTCGTGCTTTGGACTGTCTTATTGTAAATAATATATTTTATTCTAATATATGAAGACAATTTTACCTTTTTCAGTGCTTTTGCGCTGTTTATAATTAAATAATTGATTTAATTTATATTTATTAAGTACATTTTACTCAACATTTTTGTTTTGTCTAGATTCTAGTAACTTAAGACTGTGTCCGACTTCGAGTAAATTAATTGTGAATTGAGGGAAATAGTAAATTATGTCGGTATTAGATAAAAATTAGGTAATGTAGGTGTTACTATTGTGAAAATTTTATAAGATGTTTAATAAATAAATGAATAAATTTAAAAACTTTTAACCAAAAATAATAAATAAGTGCAATAAACAAATAAATAAATATTTGCAATTTACTTTACCTCAATTTACTGAAGTCGCACACTGCTTAAATGTTCAGTTTGATAAACAGTTCATCCACATTTATTTAAAACTTATTTAAAACTATTTACTTAAAGCATAGCATTTAACTCTACATATATATTATAGTGATATCTTTATAATTTTTATTAGATGCTAGATTCTATTGTTAGATATTCTTTTTGTATTTTCCAATATTTAGTAATATCTCTAATATAAGATCTAATCTATCAAACATGTAATAATATTATCTAATTATTAATAAACTAATAATAATTATGAATGATTTCTAATAATATAAATCATACAATCAAAATCATTTTATCGCTGATATTCAAAACTTTTATATCTCTTTCTTTCTTTGTCCGGGGTATACCAACAAACCAAAACTAATTTAGCCGTCTTCTACGTATAAACTCTTTCACTACCAACTACCAACACGATCCAATTCTTACTTATTTTTGTCTTTTGCCTGAATGAATTCTTAAAATTACTACTATTTTTTTTCAAAGCCTTAGCTTATAGTAATTACTGTGCGCCTTGCATTTAACGTGTTTCTTATACTTCGCTTTACTCGTTAACAGTGAGAGAGCTTAGTTCAGACAACATCAACAACACCAACAACATTAACAACACTGATAACAACAACAACAACACAAGAACATAAGAAATAAAAAAAGTATTAAAAATATGTGAAGAAAAAAAAACTTTAATAAAAGTTTAAATGTTTGAAAAATTGCAATGTTTCGTACTTGTTGTTGTTGTGATTGTGGTTGTAGTTTGTTGTGATTGTTGTTGTTGTTTTTGTTGCTGTTTATGTTATCGAAAAATCGCATTACGATCGGGTTTTCTTCGTGTTACTTTAACGAAAACAAAATCGTTTCGTTAACGATCGGTTTTCTTTTTTATAAACGAAAGCTATATGAGAACTTGAAAAAAAAATTCATAAGTAGCCAATTGCCAAGTAGAAAACCAGTCGTCAGTTAGTCGATGGCAAAGCTGCGGCTTTCATTCTTCATTGAGTGGCGTACGCTTGTTGTATTAAACGCGTTCAAGACGGAATAATACACGACGGTGCATGTATTTTTTTTTTAAATATTTTTGATTATGTTTTGTTCTTCTTTAAATGAGAAAATTATATGTATTCTTATTTGAATCTATATACATATATACATGTATATTGTATATTATATAAAAATAAACAACAAAATTTTTATTTTAAATATTAAAAAAAAAAAATAAAATAAAACGTAAGCTTTTATTTATATGGTGTCTGTGTGTGTATGCATGTATGTGATTGTATTCAATTGCAACTAACCAATAATTATCTTATAATTATCACACTTCAATGTTATTGAATAATTTTATTACAATTGTTTTTTGTGTATTACTTAATTTAACATTAAGTTTCAAGTGCGGTAATTAGAAATGCATAACATCATTTTTAAACAAATCAAAATGCAATAAAAAGTGTATTAAATAATAATAGCAAAATATCAAAAGTGAAAAAAAAGCTACTGAAAAAATTATTTTAAGTGCTAATAAGAAAGAAGTGCCGCGCACTTGACAGCCAACAAGAATCCGCTACATACTTAAGCTTGTCTGGAGAGTTAAAAACTTCAAATATACACAAGAAAAAAAAAACAAAAACAAAAGCAACAATATAAGTGAGAACAACAAAAACAATAACAACATCAGTTAAAGCATTAATAGCACTAACAACTAATAGCAACAACAAGAATAGTTATAATAACAACAGCAACAACAACAACAAGAATAGTAATAATAATGTTGATCATAATAAATAACAATGTTATTTTAATAGGCACAGCATAACGTGAGAGCTTTCAAATGGCCCACGACATTTATCAATAATAAGTAGCAGAAGTAAAAGCAGAAGCAGCAGCAGCAGCAGCAGCAGCAGAAGTAGTAGAAGTAACAGCAGCAGCAGCAGCACAAGTAGTGGAAGCAGAAACAGCAGCAGAAAAGGTGTAATAAAAAAAAGCAAATGAAGCTTCTTTTAATAAATTTCATTAATATATAATTATTTATGGTACTACATACATACTTACATATGTGTAATGTATATGCGCGTGTGGTTAATAAAGTGTTAAATATTAGCTAATTAAACAAAATTTGCTTAAAAAAATTATACAAAAAAAATTACACAAAAAAAAATTTTGTTTATAATGATATTGTAATATAAGTTTCAATAACTTTATTTAAAGTAAAATAAAACTACAAAAATAAATATAAATTTGTGCTTTGTAAAGAAATTTAATACGCCCTTTCCGCCAAGCAACAACAGTGAAGCAATAAAAAGAAAGAATAATAAAAAAATAAACACAAAAAAAAAATTATAAATTAAATATCATTTATAAATTCATGTGTGAAAATCGTTCTTTATATCAAACGTCGCGTTATAAGCTTTGTTTTTCTTTCTCTTTCTTTTCTTTTTTTGTTTTCACATAAAAGAATGCTCGCTCGGGTTACAGCCGTAAAACTTAAGTTCCGAAATTCCAATTGGTCTCAACTTTAGTGTAGAAAAAAAATTCTAACTGAAAACGTGCCAGAAAACCGGTTTTAAAACATACATAAATTCGTACTACTCAACATAATAGGTATATCGTCGTAATTACTAACCGAGAAGGTACATCTGCTTTATGTATATATTTAAGCATACCCGAGCAGATATATATATATTATCCGTTTTATAAAGGTTTTATAAATCGTAAGTGATTTCATATTTATTTAACTATAAAAGTTTTAAAGTTGTATTATATGGTATACAAAAAAGCAGTGTTTTATGTGATATATAAAAATAATTCTCACCTCTTATAAGAAAGAATTTTAGAAATCTTTAACATCGTAGACATAAGAAGCGAAATCATGAGGGTGTTCCGGTTATATACTGTTATGACAGAAACCATTAATTCTTTTTAATGTGATTTCTTTAGTTCCCCTCATTAGCTGTTGTTGAGATTCAATTATAGTTTTTTTTTTTTTTTTATTTCGAGGCTGGGGAACAAAAAATGTCTACACACACCCGCAGAAAACGTCTTTCTGTGGGTAGTGCACGGTTCGCGCTAATCGCTGACATGCTAAAAAACTCCCCTTTCCAGGATGAAGTACACGACCTGGAACCACCACTAGGTATTGCTTCAGATCAAGAGATTCAATTATAGTAGATATATATAATCTATATAGTGTTAAATATAGTGTTAAATATAATATATGTGTATATATAATATGTATTTATTTACATAGTATAATATATACATTACATATAATATATTTAGTATAACAACAGGTAAATTTTAAGATAGCGCCTCTACACATCTTCAAACATAATCTTAGGTATTCTGTTCTAGTTTTTTTTGATACTCACTTTATAAATATAGTTTAATTTATCTTTAATGATTTATATCCTATCCCAAAAATCGTAAAAATTAAGAACTAAAAATATATATAGTCTTAGATACACTGAGTAGATTTTTAGAGATTAGTGTTAGTAAATTAGATTAGATTAGTATTATTAGATTAGATATAGTATTGGACATATTATCGTTTGACATTTGAGCAGATAAAAGCAATGTTGCCCTCAATTCATTGAATGTTGTTGGTTTTTTCTGTTAATTGTCAATTTGGGTGGTACTCAAATGGACGCGTTTTAATAAATATTGAATATTGTGGATAATACCAATTATCTCAATTCTTTAACTACTCAATTTCTCAATTTCTGAATTTTTCAATTTTTCTAATTGATATACATAGTACCAATACTAAAGAGTTTTCCATTTATCATGCATTATTTTCCAAGAATTTTCTTCTAAACTGAATTACTTGTTACTTGTTTTTAATAATAATTATTTTTAATAATAATTATTTTCTTTAACTGTTTTATTAGATTGTATTCTATATAAAATTTTATATACCCTTGATACTATCTCATATAAATTATTAACTGATAATGTATAAGTTTGTAATTGTCTATAATAGTCTTGATAATGGAGTTATTGATATTTTTCAAGACCACATTTATATATAAGGCAACCTTCATCGTTGAACTATCATATATTACTTGATAACATGTGACGATTACCAGACTGATTCATTATTCTAAAATTCGAATATAAAAGGTAACATGACTTAACTTATTATCATTATTGTTATAATTAGTACAGATACTCCTATACATATGTATATATAATGTATAGTTAAATAAATTAGAAAGAAACGACAATTGTTTCTGTTTCGCGTTGTTGCTATCTATTGACTTGATTATTTTCCTTTTTTCTTTAAACTGTCATTTATAGTTTCATTCTTCTAATAAATTCAATTCCAGTAATGTATGTGTGTAATGTATATATGATCAATTTAATTAATTATTGTATTACTGATCCGTTTATTTAAAGATTAATAAGTAAATTAAAATAAATACGTATACCTTAAAATTGTGATTAAATTTGGTGGTAGACCTAAAGGACAGCCCGAATAACCGAAGTGATCAGCATACGAACAACGCTGAGAGGCAAGATTCACCCCATGCAAATGCAACTATGTAATTTCTAGCTTAACCGTTGCAAATAATAGCAATATCGAGACAAAATCAAGTCAATTTCTTGTGCGAAATTGTTGTTAGTAGTAGACTTATGACGTTAACGAAAACAGAATTTAAAAAAAAAAGAAAGAAATTTCGTTTTTTGATCTTGCGTAGACCACCTTCAGTGTCATAGTGACGATGCGCGAAGTGGGACGTAAGGGGATCTATTATGATCCGGATCCCCCACGCAAAACTGCGCCAAATAGTTATTATGTATGAAATGGTTTTATAAACAATGAGTAAACGTGTACTATTGTATTATGTAGTTCACTTCTGTGCTTTATATAGATTTTGTCCTGGTTTATTTAAACACTAAATAAACACTAATATCAATTAGACAGTAAAATTTATGTTGCAACATGTGCGCTTAAATCAACACTAATTACAATTAGATAATAAAATTATCTGCTGCGGCGTATGTAGCTTAAAATATATCATAAGATAATTAAGTATGTTCTTGACTTAATATCCTAATTACATCCTAATGCACTTAGAATAGATTACGGGGGTTTTAGACGCCTGTTATATTTACTACGCCAACTTAGTGTCAAAAAGTAAGGAACTCTTCCGTTTAATAACACATAAACACTGTTTTTAAGTATATTCCAAACACTTTCTACTAACAATCATTCTTCGAAATAGAGCATCTAACATATGTTTTTCTTTTCATCCTTTTATTGCAGATGGTAAAATATTAAAAGGTAATAAAAATATTATTTGTTTTCTTTTTTTTAGGTTTTAGTGGTTATTTGAATAGATTTTTATTAAATATTTAATAAGAATACAAAAACGGATAATGACGCAGGTTCTACACTAATATTACACTAAAATTTTACTAAATAAAAATTTATTAAATGTGCTTAAACTATGTGTGTGAAAGTGATAGAATGTTTAGTAAAACAGGTTAAATAGAAATTTGTATGTTTCTATAAAAAAAAGGAAAATTAAGAGTTAAAGTTAAAAAAAAATAAGCATATGCAAAAAATTTATTACCAAGGAAATCCTAACCAGAACGTTTACACGCCCCTTAATTTTGTTGGAAAAAAAACAGAATATGTGTTGAAAATGTATTTGATCGTCGGACTGAAGACTTGCCACATTTTTCATTTTCATGCAAAAACAACAAACATAAAACGTTTAAGTGGGAAAAAAAATTTACATTTACAATGCAAACTTTTCTAACGGTACTACGCCATTTTGTGTTCGTGCAACATATTTACAAGTGCTTCGTCATGCGTTGATGACTGCAACGAAAATGCAAAGAAAAGTGTCTCTGTCTCTATAAGATCTGCGAAGTAGTGAAGTGTAACTGAGTGTATCTCTTAGTGCTGAGTCTTTGCGAAGTAGGAAAGCACAAAAAAAAAGTTGAAATCAGTACAAGAGCCTCTTAACATCCTTAAAGTCTAATAAAAAAAAAATCCCGAAAAAAAAAATTAATAAAATAATAACGTTAAAATGTCTGATGATATAAATAAAACAGCAGCAGCAACAACAACAACAACAGTAACAACGGATATAACAACAACGAATAGTGAAGTAATTGCGGCAACATCTGAGGTGCCACTTAGCAATGTAAATGCAACAACTTGTACTGTTACAGCATTTGCTGAACTGTCTTTATTCGATCAATTAAAAAATAGTGTTAATCACAATTTAATAAATAGTAAAACTGGTAACAACAGTATTCAACCGAATAGCAACAACAACAACGGTACCGGTGGCAGCAACAACAGTACCGGTGGTAGCAACATTAAAACGGAAATAAGTTGTTCTATTTCTCAAGCTTTGCACATACCAACCAACGACACTGCTGACAACAGTTCGAGTACCAATCGGCACTTAACCAAAGAGGATAAAAATTGCAACAACAATGAAACAGATACAAAGTTGCAACAGCAACAACAACAGTCTGAAACAGACTTGGCAATATTGACAGCTGCAAAGGAAGTGACTGACAATAACAAATCAAGAACAAATGAAAAATCGACAAAAGTCTGTAGTGAAAAATGCTCCTTTATGAAGGAGCCTAAAGTGAAAAATACTGATAAAGTCTTAACAAAAATTGAAAATTCGAAAAAAGGAAATATAAAGGATGTTGTGTCTGCAACCAGCATAAGTGCGCACAATGCAAGCAATACAAGCAACAACAACAACATCAATAACAGCGATAATAACGGCAGTAAAGTAAGCAATAATACTTTAAATTTAATACGTAAAGGCGAACAAGTGACAAACTTGACAACTTTATTGTCGAAAACAGATACTCTAGTGAAAACAGCAGCAGCAACAGCAATAACAGCAACTGCAACAGAAATAGCAATAGCAACAATACTGCCTGAAGTCGTAGCAAATCCTAATATCTCAGTTATGCAGACAGACAAGCAACAAACTTTTTTATCAAACGCAAATAATCAAGAAATGTCAACCACAGCAATCCAATTAATGTCACAAAGCAATGCAACAATACCAACAACTAACACTATACAAAATATTGTAAATACAACAGCAACAGCAACAGCAACTGATATAGTGTGCAGCAACAGCAACAAGTTGAAGCCAATACCGATACCAACACTGACAGCGTCAACAACAACAACCAACGTCAATTTCTTAGATACGCATAACACTGCTAATCATTGTGCTAATCAAGTTGTTGGCAATAGTAATGAGAGTGTGGAAATTGCTAGCAATAATATAGCATCAATTGCTGCTGTCAGCAACACAAATCAACACATTAAAACGACAGTAAACACAGTCAATACTGCAGCACCAGTAGCAGCAGCAGCAACGACAATCAACGCATTGCAAAATAAAACTTCAAATTTGAATCAACAATTCTCAACACCAGCATTGCCACCACCAACAACAACAATAACTGCAATTGGCAACATCAGCAGCAATGGTACAAGCATTGGCATAGTGCATGGTATGAAACGTGCCACATCGGCAACAACAACTGCAACGGCTCTTATAGCATCAAAACCAACATCTGCAATAAATATCGCAGGGAAATTTCAAGCACCCACTGTCAATTCTGTTGCATTCTTACAACAACAACAACAACAACAAAATACGCATATTTTTGGTATACCACAAGCTAATGTTGTTGCAAACAGTCACAGCGACATCAATGATAAAACTAGCACTATGACAAGCAACAATACTACTAATAATATTGTCAATATACACAGAATGGAAAATAACAAAGTATTAAGATCTCAACGTCATTATCATCATCATCAGCAACATTTGTTGCAGCAATTACATCATCATAATCATCATACAGCAATTGCTAATAGTAATAAAAGGACTGCAGCAACAGCTGGCTCACATCATGCAAACGAGAGTGATATTATCAGCAAGAAGAAACGTTGCACCGATCGTTATGATTCTTCAGAATCTTCAGACAGGTAAGTTTGTTTTTTTTTTTTTTAATTTTAAATGGTTATTTTTAAATGATTATTATAAATGATAAATGATTATTTATATATAAAATTAAATTTTTAATTTATTGATTTAAGCTAAATAGATGTATTGGGTCACATAAAAAGTATTCGGCGTTTTTTGGTAAATTTTTGAATAGAAATTTTCTTATTTAAAAATTAATTTTAAACAAGTTTATATTGGCCGTAGTTATTTATGACCTATTATCGTTTTTCGAATGGTTTTACAATTCCATTGACCTAGAACTTCTGTGGTTTATCGGCGATGCTTGGCTAATAGATGTTTAGCAGCTCTTTGGTCGAAAATTTTTTTACCATTAAAAGAGTTTTGCAGAGACCACAACAAACGGTATGCAAATATTGCAAGATCCGGGCTATACGGTGGATGTATCAAAACTTCACAACCATATTCCATCAATATGTTGACAAGTCATTACAAACATTGTCACTATAGAACACAACTAATTTTCTGTTTTCGAGTTCTGTTCGAACAAATTTAGGTATATACAGTAGTCGCAAGAAACAATTTCTTCTTTGAATATAAACATATGAAAATATTTTCTTTTTATAGGCTAATAATGGTCAAGAAAATCTTAATATGAAAAACACTTTTCTTCCCTATTTCGTTTGAAGCTTTTTTAATAAAACCAAATGAAGAGCTTTTTCTTTTATAGGCTAATAATTGCTGAGATAGTCTCAATATGAAAATCTTTCATCTTTCTTCTATATTTCGTTTGAAGGTCTTTTAATATAATCATATTAACATGCTTTTCTTATAGGCTAATAATTGTCGAAATAGTCTTAATATTCCAACCACCTTTTGTCCCTACTTCGTTCGAAGGTTTCCTATAAAAATATAAAACTACCGATATGAAAACCACATTTTTTACCGATTTTGTCCAAAGATCTTTTTAAAGAAAACATAAGAGCATCCGTCATCAATTAAAAGATAAATAAACGATATGAATTCGAGCATAGTTAAAGCCTAGTGTGGGGCAGGGCTAAATCCCCCAGCCACAAAAGAGTAAAAGTGCGCAATAGCACTAACTCAAGAAACCACAACAACAATTATAAGAACATCTTTACTTTTTATGGGCAAATAATTACCTAAATAAATTCAATATCGAAAACTACCTTTCCACACCACTTCCTTCCTATAGAAAAAGCATTACAGAGGTAGTCTCTATATGAAAACATATTCCCTACGTATGCTTTCTCATAACCCCAGATGTCATATAAAGTTCCATTTAATAACGCTTAGATTCTACAAATGTTGATTACCAGCTGAGACATTACAAAATATAAAAATTATTAATTAGTGCCATAGTATGTTAGTTCCACAAAACCGTGGGCTTCTAACTTAGTAAATTTATTAATATTTGAAGTGTTTAGTAATTTTGCTTAAAGATTTCCACACCTCTTTGAGTACGCAATGCTGCAGTACAAGGCGAAAAACGTGAAGAAAAATTTGCCTGTGTAAAGCTTAATTTCCGGCCATTAATTTCATCAAAAGCAGGCGCGGCTGTCTTAATAAATTTAAAGCGAAAAGAAAAAAATAAATAAAAGAAAAGAAAAACCACATAAAAAAATATCTCGGATAAGAAAAAATGCTACGAACAATGCATAAGCAAAACAAAGAAAAGTATTTTAAAGCGAAATATTATTAAATAATAGCAGATTTTCCATAAAATCTTGCAGAAGGGAAGTGGAGTGTGAAAGCAACAAAGAAAAAAACTTTTTGTGATTTTTAGGCAAAGTATTTAAGGCAAGAATTTGGGTCAAGGTAGTACGTTCGCCCTAACTTTTTGAACAATAATTTTTTTTTAATTTTCGGAAAATTGGTCAGTAAGTCAAGAAAAGTACTAAAATGTGGTCATATTTATAAGAAAATTGTTTTATACTTTTTACTGTTGGAATTTTCCTAATTTCAATAGATGTTATGCGGGTTAGTGGTATGGTATAGGAATGATTATTCCATACATTATTTAATTTTTCAATTGTTGGAAACACTTTCTTATATATAGTAGGTATATTAGATCTGTTTTAATATTGCTTTGCAATAGTGATTGGAAGTGTTCTTTGTTAGCAGATATGAATTGCTACCCATCTGGTATTTCAGAGTAAATTTTTCTAAGGTCTTTCAAAATTTGCAAACATAATTTTCACTTTGTCGTGTACTTAAAAAAGAAGCTTTTCAATGCATTTCCAAAAACCCACATCATGTTACTTGTAATATATGATTTACAATTTCAACACTGTGATACGTTTTATATATTTCTTGGGTCTATGGAAATCATGATTGACTTATGGAATGGCTGATTCACACTCTCCCTCGATGTAATTAGTCCATTATAACTGTCTGCTTCAATTTATTTGTTGTTGTAAGATGCTATTTTCTTAATCGGTCAATGTAAGAAAAAGCTAACATATCAATATTGGTCTCTTTTATTTTGTCTTGACAATAATATATTTCTATATATGAATATACTATATTTCAATACACGGAAAGAGATTGTAACTCATCAGCTAGCGCGTGAGAAAGAAGTTTTTGGAAGATGTATCTTTCTTACATTGCTTCTTTGATGTTAACATTGCTAATTTTCCATCACCAATATACAGAGAGATATATTTTTTGATGGTGTACATTTCTTACATAGCTTTCTTCTTGGCAACTTGCTGATTTTAATACCAGTTGAGTTCAAAGGAATATACTTTTCTTGCAACAACATTTAAAACATTAACTTCTCTTTTGTTAGATCTCCAAGGATCTATAAAACAGATGACATGAAAGAAATTTCGAAGACGTAAACATGGGTTAGAATGTGGATATGTAATGGTAGTGTGAGACAGTAGCAATACTGTTTAACGTTGATACTTGCCATTAAGGTTTAAGAACACGCTGGTAGTGTGAAATAGAAAGAGTTTATTTGGAAGTAAGAATGGGCTAAAGGTAAGTGAAATTTAAATTGAACTTATTCAGAATCAAGGTGAGGAAACCTAGCCATTTTGTTGGGGCGGGTCTTAAAATCGATTGGACATATTTGAAATTGACGCATTTGTGCGTGACAAGTAACTGTTTTCCATCTGGCTTTAGCCTGATCTCAATTAAGTTAGAAGAGTTCTGGCTGCATGGGAAAGGCGTCGGTTTTCCTAGCAGATAGTAGGCGAGGGCTTATTGAGAACTTTGTTGCAGTGCTATCATGGGCTCAAAAAGTATACTGCACTTGTGGGGAGGACAGTTAGCTGACGTTTATATTGGATTGAATTATTGATATTAGTTCCATTACAATAGGTGCAAATAAAATTATAATTTAATATGAGTTCCATTAGTGCTTTTTGGACATAGAGTTCTACTAAGTCAATCTATCAATCTGAGTGGCAAGAAGTTTTTACCGGGAACCTATTTTCTCAAGGTAATATGTCAAATTTTGTTATTTCTGGAAGTCTACTATCTGATATGTTAATTTCTCTTACTATATATTACTATATAATTATAATTATATTATATATTATATTATTATATATTAGTTATATTACTAATTTTTTTTATTGTAAGCATTTTAGAAACATATTCCCCTAAAATGAAGTGCGAATATCTTGAAGAGATTTAAAAAAAATAGCTTTGCATTTTGTATCCATTTCCGGATTACAAAAACAAAAAAAATATTATTTAAAACCCGTGAAATATATACTAAAATATTTATTATAAATTTTTTCGGTAAAAATTTTCCGAAAAATAACGTTTCGTCTGTGAAAAGTCATCAAAAATTTACCAAAAGTTTTTCATAAATAATGCAGTAAGTTTTCGCTACTGCTGTTATTGTTGTTGTTTCAGTTGTTGTTGTTGTTTGTTATTGCCATAGCTATTTTTGCTATGCTTGTGCCTTTTTTTTTGTTTAGTTTTTGTTTTTGTTCTTCTTTTTTGGTGCTACTCTCATTGCAGACATTTGCCACATTTATGTGGGCGGCTGCTGTTGCAAGAGTGACTGACTGCCTCCCAGCACAGTGTTTTTTATCTTCTCTCTTTCCGTGGTTTGACTTATTTTTCAGTTACTTTAAATTTTTATTTCCTTTTACAGCTTTTACAGCTTTTGTTGGTTTTGTAATTTGTTGCTTTGTTTACAAAATTTGTTGTTGTTTATGTTTTATTTTGTATGGTTTTTTTGTTTTTTTTTTGATTTTTGTTTTTATTTTTGGGTGAAATATGTTCTTTAATGATTTTACTTTGAGATTCGAAAGAATAGGAGTGTCTCGTCTAGTTGCTGGCGTCTGTTATTGAAGAGGCGAATGGCGTGTAGCACTTGCACAAATTAAAAGATTTGTTGAGTTTTGTGAAGCAAATAAAGTCACTTAAAATATTTCATTGTCAATTAAAATTATTGTTTTAGAATAATTTCATTGTAAATAAAAGAAACCCATTTTTACAAATAATTAATTCTAAGACTTTCTAAAGTTTAACTTATAAACTCAAAACTTTGGTTTTAGAGAAATATTAAGTAAATATAATTTCATGTGAATTCCCTATTGTGAAATGTATAGAAGAGATACGATAGAAGGGATAGAAGTTGGTTTTGATAACAAATTTTGTATTAGAGTTTTATATCATGTTTCTTTAGAAACGAAGAAGAACCACAATGTTTAAACTTTAAAATTATGTAAAGAACAATAGTTAAAAGATATAATATCTCTGAAAGTTTTCCATATCTTACTTTTAAATGAATTTTAATAAATTCAATGAAAATGACTTTAAAACTACATTCTTATAAGCTAAAGTTATTGGAGATAAGGACTACAGTTCCTATATAAACTTATGGTGTTTTGCGAGAGATTTCGTTCACCGAAAACCAGTGTCATTGCGTATGAGTGACATTTTTGGCACCTCAGAAATATGTCCTGTCAAGAAATTTGGTACCAACAACATACTTTGCTTGAGCTTTTTTAAAAATAGAGCGACATTTCAAGTAAAACACCAAAGTATTGATTACTTATTATATATTTTTTATTATTTTTTATACACTTGGTTATAAAATGTAGTTTTCGGGTTTCGGTCTAACACAGTGTTGCTCTCCAGGCATTTCTTAC